AGCTCTCTCACACACACACAGTATCACTACCACCACCACCACCACCCCTGTCCTCAGCCTGCCTTGATTCCTTGCATATGACATCAGCCATCTAACTCCAACTCTGGCATTTGCAATACAAAGCAATCCTGGGAGACAAACTCAAGTGCCCATCTCCTGGCTCAGATTACTGCTTTGGGGCAGATTTGGAGGGGGGGAGGGTTAAACAAAAAAAGGCCACCTCTGCCCGCTTAGATCAAGATGGGTAGCCCTGATAGTCTGTCTGAAAAGAGTAAGAGTCCAATAGCAACTTAAAGAATAACAAAATTTGTGCCAGATTCAGGTGGGTAGCTGTGTTGGTCAGAAGGAGCAGAACAAAGTTTGAGTCCAGTGGGGGCACCTTTAAGACCAACAAAGTTTTATTCAAGGTTATCAGCTTTCGTGTTCATGCACACTTCCTCAGATACAGATTCTAGCTGTTACCTGAAGAAGTGAGCAGTGACTCACGAAAGCTCCTACCCTGCTACAAACTTTGTTAGACTTTAAGGTGCTACTGGACTCTTGCTCTTTTCTTCTGCTCTCTTAAATACAGAATATTGTCATGGAAGTGCCAGATGGAACAGCCATATTTCCACTCAGAAAAAATGAACTGGGATACTAGTCAGCCAAATCAAAATCGTGTGTGTCCCACACTGTAAATTATGGATTTCATCTTCCAAATAATTTCCCCCAAAATAATAACAGGTAATGCATTATGAAGTGATCCACACAAATGCAAAGCCATTTTAAGACCTACTGATTTTCATGAGAGATGACTGGAATCCTCTTGACCTGACAGCAATCCCATTGAACATGATAAATGTGCATAGGATTGGGATGCTTGGTTGCTGAACTCCATAGGTAGGAGCTTCCAAGTTTTATTTCAGCTGAAGTTGTTGTGGATTAGAGTCCACTTTTTCAAATGCTAGGACCAAGAATCCTGCTTGTCTGGGCTGTAACAAACTAACCCTAGTTTCCCTTCTGGAACATTCTCAGACAGGTTCAAAGCTCAGGGAAGAAGGTGTGGCCAGAGAAAACAAAGGGAGGGTGCAGTTTCATGGGCAGGCCACTGCAACCAGTCAACTGTTTTATGGCCATAAATAAATAAATAAACTCTCAGTATGGATGGTCTTCTTTTAAAAAAAAAAGCCAAAGGTCTCACCTTTTGTGTCTTTCCCCTTTCAAAGTGCAGAGCTCCTTGTTGGGGGGGGAGAGAGTTTTGCAAAGACAACTTTTTTGTTCTCAAAAAAAAAAGCCGAAGGTCTCACCTTTTGTGCCTTTCCCCTTTCAAAGTGCAGAGCTCCTTTTTGGGGAGGGGGGGGAGTTTTGCAAAGACAACTTTTTTGTTCTCCTGCCTGAAAACTTGCCCATTACCCTGGGGCAAGGTAGAGTGGTTTCCTTTTCCTCCAGTGTAGTTCTGTACGCAGTAAAAAAGAAAGAAAGAAGGGATTAAAAATGATAGTGGGCAATGGAGACGTTTGAAAAATGGGGAAAAATTAGTCGAGAGTGGGATTGTACAATGCTACCACCACCACCCCTCCCTTCCCTTGATGAGTCATGTTTACTCAGAGCTGAGCCGAATGGACTTACTTCCGGGGTGCCATTGGACTCAAACTTCGGACTTACTTCCAAGTGTTATTGACTACAGTGGGACTGACTCCCAAGATGCAGAGCCCAGATCCAAGATGCACTTCTCTCTGGGTTCAGTATGTTTTGGGCTCCAACTTTAAGCAAGTAAGCAAGGCTTCTTGAGAGTAAGCCCCACTGAATGAAAGGGGATTTACTTCTGAGTAGACCTCCTTCCGTTTGCTCCCTCGCTCCTCCGCAAGTATACACAAGGGCCCCCAGTGGGGGCAGCGCCCGATTCGAGGCATCAGGAACTCCCTCAGTCAGAATTTCAACGGGCTTGAACGACTTGGAGGAAGCCTGCGCCAGGCCCCCAGCTGGGAAGGCCCGATCCCAGGCCTCCTCCCTGGGCCGGAAGTCCACGGGGTGCCCTTGGCCTGCAAGCCCTCCTGCGAGGGCTTTCGACCGTGCCAGATCCTCCTGGCCCGGGGCCTTGAACTCTGCGGCAGCCGGAGAGGCCACGAAGAAGACTCAGCCCCGTGTCAAGTTCAAACCGCCTCTGCCTGCCCGAGCGAGCTGAAGGCGCCCTGTAGAGGCCAGGGCATTTTCTCTCTGCCGCGGAAGGAGAGGAAGCCCTCCGCTGCCCAAAGCTCAGGACGAAACTTTCTCTCCTCGGCACTGCAGCCCCCCGTGAGCAGAATCTAAAGAGCAGGGCGGCCTGAGCAGAACGGGAATCAGCCAAGAGTCCAGCCTCCCCTCCCCACCCCCAATCCCAGGGAGTCCGCTTTCCAAACGGACCGGGAAGTTCCCATTCTGCACGTCCTCAACCGAAACACAAACCAACACCCTTACTTGGATCCTCCCGGATCGAAAACTCTTTTTACGCGTTTTACCCACGAGTAAGAGCGACCCCGCTGAATCCAGCCCAATCCAGAGTGCAGTTTTTCAAGCGGTTTGTCTGCAAAAGTACTTTCTGTCTTCGCCACCCCGAGACGAAGGTTTTTGTATCCGCACTGGGCAGGCCGAGCCCTGGGAAGGCGATGCATCCCCAGGTGAACAATTTAAAGATATCGTTCCTTTCTAAACGTCTTGAAACTTATAATAATATCAAAGTTTAGCGGCAGGAAACTCCGATTCAAACCGATTTTCATTCATTTGGCTCTGCACCAAGCCCATGAAGATTTACTCGCAAGTAAATCCCACTGATTCCACGTATGGGTGCACAGGATTACACTTTACTCCCAAGTAACCCTCCACAGTATTGCACCTTCAATTTGCACTGTTAAATTCTCGTCTGTAAAATTACAAATATATATATTCCCGTCCAAACAGGTTTCACTATAGCCACGGTCTGGGGATGAATAAAATATCGTATTCCTCGTTTTCTGAAATCTTGTTTGTGTATTGATCCACTATTATACTATTATGCTATATTATTGTGCATTTTTTGCACACATCCTGTTTTTAGTAAGTCACAGATGTGTAGAAAATTTATGCACACATCCACCCCAGACATCCATTGTTTCGTTTTCTTTTAAAATCCACGGTTGGGAAGATAGCCAGAAATATTTCTTCAAACAGTGTCTTTGGCAAAAATAAATATTTATTTTACATAAAATAGCGTGCTCCAAAAAAGACCCCTGAGTTTTGCAGACACACGAACACAGAACGTTTACAGGAGACTTCTGGAGGCAGTCCTAGAATCAGCTTAAAACCCACCCCGCCCCACACATTCACCCACACCCCAAACACACTTTAGCTTCCAAAATTCTGGACTTCCATGCTAACTGCTTGAACATGCAATTATATTTTATTCTATTTAGACACCCCAGTCCTCTCCTTTCTTATTTCCGTATCAGAGAAACACGTTGCTACTACGGTTCCCATTTACTTGGGAGTCAGTTCCCCTAGAACGAAAGCGACTTTGTATCACTAAATAGGGGCTAATAGAACAGGAGAGAGCGTTGACACAAACCCAGACCCCCACCCACGCAGGCATCCTTCACCCGCGCCTCGGTAGATAAAACTAATTTACCTTTCTGGGTTTACACGTGTCTGGCAAAGGTGATTGCGGGTAGATCTTTCTCCTCTGACGTGGGAAGACGTTGTTTGATGGCGACTGTTTCCCCCAAGAGCAGTAGAAACCCAGAAACGAACCTAAAACGTTTGCGCCGAAGGGAAGAAAGGTGGTGGTGGAGGGGAATAAACAGGAGGGGGTCCTCTTTCCCACGGCGAAAGGAGCAAAACCCACAAACCGTTAGATTTTATGAGGAAGGACAGCATTTCACAGAGAGGAGGACTGGAAAGAGAGAGAAAACCAACGCAGATGTTGTTCTAGACGGGGTGGGGGGAGGGTCCCAGGTAGTTAGGAGAGAGAGAGAGAGTAAAGGTGTTTCCAAAACAAGCAAATAAAAAAGAAACAACTGGGGGGGGGGGGGGGACTGAGCTTGGAAAGAAAAGTGTCCCGCTGTGTTCTTTCCAAAACAATAAACTTTTAATGCTAAAGCAGTTATATAACCAAAAGCTGTACAGAGTTTGTCTGAGTTTTTTTTTGTTAGAAAAACAAATTTCCATTTCTCCTTTTTTGTGGGATTTTTTTTTCATAAATATTGTTGAGTTCCCGGCACTTATCTCAATAATTAAATTACAAACGATAAATATGGCATCGTGGATATGTATTTACAAAAGAAGAGAGAGAAGTTGTTACGAAAAGGCAACTGTTTATACTAAACCGTCACGAGGTGGGTGAAATCAAGATCACATTTTTTTTTTTTTGTTCGCCATCCTGAAAGAAAAATTATGCTGAACGACTTTTCCCCGTCCCACCCCCAGTCAGACGAAATACATTCACAAGTGTATGCTTGGAGAGTGAGACAGAGGGGACAGGTGGAGGAAGAGAGAAAGAGAGAGAGGGAGAGAAAGGCGGAGGACCAGTGAGAGAGAGAAAGAGAGAGAGAGAAAGAGAGAGACTTCAAGACAATACAGGACTTTGGCAAGTTTTTAAGACTGCGTTTTTCATTATTATTATTTTTAACAATCACAACTAAGGCCAAGGAAAAATTGGAGTCCTCATTTCTCCACATCCCACCGAAGGAGGAGGGAATGGGAAGGGGGGGGCGTCCACCAAAGTTACCAAAGGCTGGCAAAAGGGGGGG